GGGGAGGATCACCTCCCTCCACCTGCTGGCAACGCTCTCCTCCTGATGCAGGCCAGGATCCCATTGGCCTTCTTGGCTACAAGGGCACACTGCTGGCTCATGGTTAACTTGTCAGCCAGGACCCCCAAATCCCTCTCCATGGAGCTGCTTTCCAGCAGGTCAACCCCTAATCTGTACTGGTGCCTGGGGTTATTCCTCCCCAGGTGCAGGACCCTGCACTTGCCCTTGCTGAACCTCATGAGGTTCCTCTCTGCCCAACTCTCCATCCTGTCTAGGTCCCTCTGAATGGCAGCAGAGCCCTCGGGAGTGTTGGCCACTCCACCCAGTTTTGTATCATCTGCAGACTTGCTGAGGGTGCCCTCTGTCCCCTTGTCCAAGTCATTGATGAACAAGTTGAAGAGCACTGGCTCAGTTTGACCCTTCGTGGGACACCACTGGCCACAGGTCTCCAACTAGACTTGGCCCCATTTATCACAACCCTCTGGGCTCTGCTGTCCAGACACTTCTCAATCCACCTCATTGTCTAAACCATGTTTCCTGAGCTTCCCCATGAGGATGTTATGGTAGATGGTGTTGAAAGCCTTGCTGAAGTCAAGCTAGACAACATCTATGGCTCTTCTCTCATAAGGATGCTTTCAGTTATGGCTGTCTATTATGAGATAAGGATTTGACCTCAGAAAGGTTGCTTTGAATTGAATCAGTAACCTTGATTGTTCATGCCAGTGCATCTGATTTCTTCCTGTTTTATTCTCTGCAACCTTTCTTCTTAGCCAAATTGTCTTCTCAAAGGTTTTTACCTCTGGAGTTACTATAAGATGTCTAGAAAGCTTAGATCAGAGTGGTTTCTTTTTATTTTGCTTTTCTAATTTCAGTCTTTCCTGTTAGAAAGGAAGATTTATTAGAAAATCTTACCTAGGCGAGTATTAGGCTTTCCAGAAGGCACATGAAAAATCCTTTTTCTAAGAAACAAAAATCTGCTTAACTCATTTCAGTATTTTGCAGGGGAGGAGATATCATTATATTCTTGATACTTTTAATAGTTCTGATTTTGGAAGTACTGTGCCTGTAGCATTGCAGCACTTTTCATAAAAGGAATACCCGAGACAGCAGCTAGTACCATTAGCTGCAAAACTGAAGTGCAAAGGCCAAATAGCAAAGTACACATTGTCTAGAAATAATGTGCTGAATTTGTTATTACTGGAGAAAATAATTTGGTGCAATTATTTCTATGTATCACTCTGGCACCAGGAATAATTAGGCACCAGCTGAAGACAGTGACTGCCAAAAGCACATTTGGAGGAGGTGAGTGTTTCTGGGTGGTACAGTCATGCATTAGCAAGTATGACTGCATCACCAAAACAAAAGTATATGCAGGCCCCCACATCCTTTTTAGGGATGTGCTGGCCTCAATAGGAAAGGACACCAGTAAAGTACTGGGCAAGAAGAAAAGGCAAAAAAAAAAGGGGGGGGGAAAGGAAAACTGGGGTGTATTTGCTTGCACTTAGCAAAAAAGCATCTGCCTGAGTAAGATTCAGTGTTCATAGCTGCTTCAGGAGTCATTTTCTGTAAAAGCTGAAGAGGGAGCAGGTCAGCTGTTTCAAATCCAGTTTGCTAGATGTTTAATCTAAAGTAATGGATGGGTGGGCTAAACAGCAACTGGAAGGGCAGCTGCAGTAGAAATAGGGATCCAGGCAGCCTTGAGCAAGGTAAAGATTATAAACCTCCTTCCCAATGTGCATGCACACTATCTTGTAGTAAGTAGAGTCAGGAAATGGATATAAATTTTTCTGTTTGCTGAGAATGAGCTCCAACAGGGCAAAGAATTACCTGTGAAAAATCTTCTCTCTCATGCATAAAATTCTCTCTCAGTCCTTGAATTCAGTGATAAGCTTTTAGCAGTGAGTTGTTCCAGTGAGTGCCTCTATTTTGTGGGGAGGGAAAAGCACATCTGACAGAAATCTTAACTTTTAGGCAACTGAAAGGAGGAATCAAAATTTCTCCAACATATCACATGTGATATAAATGCTAGACACAAAATGATATTGTGTGGGAGCGTGTGGTTAAGTCTTTGTCACAGTGGGTCCTATTACAGGACAAATGATGAGATGCAATCAGACACCAAGAAATCATGGTCCACAACCTGCAAGTGCTTTTAATAGGATAACTATCTGCTTGTTAGCTTAGATTTTGTAATTGCATCTTCCACCACAGGGGTGTTGAAGGATGAGCAGATACAGCTCAGTGAAAACGATACAAAAGAAACAACCCTGCATCTTGAGAAATATTTAGCTGCTTAATTAGATTCAGACTGTAATACTGTTAACAGTGCATAAATGCACTATTCTCTGTTTATCTACATGTTGTTTCATTCTTTGCCACGAATCCACTATTATTTAAATATGAGTATCTTGAGCATATTTTCTCCTCAAAAGCAACCATTATTTTATCTTACAATTAGCTTTCACAAGGTATTGTCAAACTTTTCACATGTAAGAGGAAAAGATATATACTCTACCTTTTAGCAATCATAAATGAAAAAGTATGAGAGAGAAAGTCCTGCCCCTAGATATCAAATTTTCACATAGACATCCAATTTTATGTTCTGGCATTTGGGAAGCATGTGGGAAATGGAGCTCTTCTATCCACAATGTTTCAGTGAGGCTTAGTCCCATTAGAAAGCTGGATTCTATGGGTCTTTCTGGAGAAAGAAGAGACCTGCTGATGTTTACAAAAATGATTTTCTTTCGGTGTAATACTACCATTGCTGAAGTCATGGGGGCTGCAGAGGCTATACTCTGCAATGGTAGTAAAGTGTTTTAGGTTACACTGAACATGAGCTGAATTCCATTTTGCTGCTTCCTACTGTGCTGTGTTACTGTTCAGCTAGAGGTACATTGAATGGCAAATAAGTTTTCTGCCATATCATAGGATGGGTTAAAATCAACAGTAATGCAAATGCACGGTTTTTAGTACTCCTGATTAATATCTCATTTGCATCTTGATGTGAAAGCAGAATACAATAAGTTTCAAGTGGCAGAAACAAATTCGTTAAATATATCAAGTCTGAAATCCTGTCATCTTGAAATAAATGCCTCTAATTGCTGTTTTGTCAGATGGTAACTAGTGGGCAAAATACAAAATTATGAAACTCTAAAGCTTGTAGTACAGGGGAGGAAGAGGTGGAGAGAGGATTAGTGGTGATGGTTCTTTCTGGATTTTCCTGTCCGATACAAAATTCTGAAAGTCTTCTGGAAGAAAATCAGCAAAAGACAGCAATAGTTTTCCCAAGCTAAGGATAAGTATAAGTATATAGTTGTCTGATATCTCATCTTCCTTATGTTGTCCCTAAGCTGCTGGCCCATATGCCGAGTAAGAGCCCCTTGCATGAGACCACTGGTGCTGGCAGCGAAGTTTATAGCTCTGTATATAGGCACCCGGAGCCTGTTAGATAGTATAGAGTGGCCAGCAATAAATACACACACACAGTCTAAATCCATTTATCCTGCAAAGTGCAAAACCTTGGTGCAAAGTATTATTATTTTTTTTTTAAGCATTGTGTCTCTTGTGGCTCTTAGTTACTCATTGGCACTCGGGGAGGATGTAACACCCAGGGGGCTTTTAGTACTCTGAGATGTTAGCAAATATGCACAACTACTCTGGAGTCAAGGGCTGTTCTCCCATGTCTTAGTGCTGCAGTTTGGTGTCTAGAGACGCAAATCAAGACTGGCTAAGGTGCCATCTCTGAGGCTTACAGGCATCCCCCAAAAGGCCTTGTTCATTGTGGCTATTTTTAGTCAAGTCAGCTGGCCAGGCATGTCAGTAGTGAGAACCAGGTCCTTTCAAGTGTGCTGGTATCATGGATAGGGTTTAGAAGCTCTGTAAGATGGATAGGAGGTGCCAGCTAGTGTGCATCCACCTCACAGGATCCTCTCCAGCTATATCCTGCAGATTGAGATCACTCCCCTGCCCTTACTGGAGAAGCTGCTGCAGGGCCTTTTCAGGGGACCCATACTACCAAAACTGTGATCGGTCTCTGCTTTCCTGAGTGGCTGGAAAGAGGATGCATAGCCCTAGTACTGCCAAAACTCAGTCTCTGCTTTCTTGTGTGGCTGGAAAGAGGATGCATAGCCCTAGCAATTGAAGCAGTATAGAAGGGACTCATGTGGACCAGCTGCTCTGACAAGCTAGAATCATATCGCTGCCGAAGCAGGGACACTAGGCATGCACCCAAACCATCAGAGGTGCTCCAGCTGTGTGGCTGTTTCCCTTGGGGCTACCTCCGTGTCCACCCTGGTTGTGCAATGGCACAAGGTACAGGATACTGGCTCTCTACAAAACCTTGAACCGCCTCGAATGCCTGGCTTGCTGCCAGAGGCTGCAAGGGCATCCTGCAGAGATGCCTTCCTCTATGGGAGCAGGCCCCCTATGGAGAAGGCAGAGCTGGGGCTGCACTTGGCTCATCAACTGAGAGTGATACTAGATACATTCAAAGCTTCTTCCTTTGGTTGGGGATGCCTGGGTGCTGTGGTGCAGACCTATGCTGAACTAATAGAAAATACACCTTTGACTCCATTTTATCTGACTTGTGATGGGGATCAAAGCACATGTGAGATTTTACTTAGAACATCATTGGTGACTAAGGATTGCTTGCTTTATTTTTTGTTTTGTTTCTGTGATCTGTCTGAAAGCAATGCAGGACTGAGCTTCTTACTTTTTAGGCTCCGATTCTGTGAGGACTCACATTTCTGTGTAACTTAAAGTGTGCAAGCATTTCTTTCAAGTTTAAGGAAATACATGTGTGATTCAAGTTAGGCAGCTGTGCAATCCCAGGTAGATCGGGACCACAAAAAGCATATGCTACCTCTTCTTCTAGAGCAAAACTGATCCCAGATGATCCATTTCTTTGAGCCGTAGGCAATTTATGCTCCCAATACTACTGATACAAAAGTTATGAATCATAATGAGTTGCAGAGTCTTAACGCTTTTCCTTAAATACAACAAATATCATATCAGTCTTATAAATTTATACAGGTTTTTAAAAAAACAGTGAATACGTTCTCCTTATATGAATAAAAGATCTTAAAGATATTGCCTACACCGTACAAGCTTCTGAAAGGCTTTTTTGAAATCTTCATTAAAGATTGTGTAGATTAGAGGGTTAATAAGGGAATTAATATATCCCAGCCATGCTAGGAAATTAGACATGTCTTCTGAGATGTGACATCTTTCACAGGTATTAACAACTACTTCTTTTACAAAAAAAGGGAGCCAGCAGATCACAAATGCCCCCAAGATCAAACCCAGAGTAGTTGCAGCCTTTCTCTCTCTTGTGCTAGAGATTCTCTGTTTTTTCCAGGACTTATCCTGCTTAGATTCAGACCTGGGGCTTCGTAGGGTGATTTTATCACAGTCCACCAGAGGATCTGATGTCTTCTCTACGATGCTGGGCATTGAAGTAAGTTTGGTGCTTCTTTCACTTGCCTCCAAAAGGACTTGTCCATTTACCTCTTCCCTTACGATCCGACTGACGCTCCTTCTGTGAAACGTCTTTGCTGCCTTGTATATCTTGTAATAAAGGATCAAAATCAAGGCCAGTGGGATGTAGAAAGCACCAAATGTAGAGTAAATGGTAGAAACAATGTGATCATGTTTAATGATGCATTCGTCATCCCTGCTGGCTGTCTGGTGCCGCCAAAACAAAGGTGGCATGGAAATAAAAATGGATATGATCCATACTACTGCAATCATGATGCCAGCATGCTTAGGTGTCCTTTTCCTGGCATATTCCACAGCATCTGTGATTGCTCTGTACCGATCCAAAGCAATGGCAGAGAGATGCAAGATGGAACATGTGCAGCAGGTAATGTCCACACTCAGCCAAATGTCACATACCACTTGCCCCATGATCCAGGTCTCCTTTACAATGTAGACAATGCTGAAGGGCATCACTAGGACTGCCACAAGGAAATCAGTCACTGCAAGGGAGCATATTAAATAGTTGGCAGGATGGTGGAGCTTTCTTGTCACAATTATTGCAGTCATCACAAGGGAATTGATGGCTGTTGTCATTAGTGCAAGCACAGACAAGGTAATAGAAATGAGAATCTTGGATGTCATCCATTTGAACGGTTCTTCTGATGTACTGTTTTGTTCAGTTGCATTGATTAAATCCATGTTCCCTTTTAAAGGTGATCTTTATCTGTAGAAGTTACCTGTTGGAAAGGTAAAAACACTTTAGAAAACATGTCCTTAGTGTCCATGGTGTCTTTATTGTTGTCATCCTAAAAGACTATGGACTCAAACTTACAGGAATCTCAGATTTATCATCAGCAACAACTTTGGCTCCAAGAAGAATTTTTCCTGGCCAATTCTGTGTGAGGTACTCTGCCTCCAGAATAGGGCTCTCCTCTTTCTCTTTGCTCTTGATGGTGGAACAGGCACGTTTGTGTGGTAGAGGAAAGCAGGGTGCAGCAGTGCCTGAGCTGGTGTAGCCCTGCGTAGCGCTGAGCGGTGCGGGCTTGGGGGAGGCTATCCTTCTCCTCAGGGACACCCCCAGGGTTTGCTCTGTGCCACTGAGCCAGCCCTCCTTCCTAAAGCTTACTCTGAATGGATTTTTGTTGCTTCTTGAAGCTGCTTAACACAGTCCTATTTTAATGTAAGTACTAATACTGCTTTTTGGCTAGTCCCTATCAGCTCTTCTTAGCAATGTAAATGCTTTTAAAATTTTTAATCTACAGGGAGCTGGTGTAGTGCTTCTTTTCTTTAGTCCTTTCTGCTTGTCAGTAAGTGAGCGCATCCGTGTTTGTATATAACTAAGTGTGAGAGACATGGTGCTCAGGGAAAAAAACTGAAAGGGGAAGATTGCAGTATCAACAAGAGATGAAATAGTTTTGTTGAAAGCTTAATTCTAGAGCCTCCTCTTAGATGGCTCTAAAATGACACAGGTTAATATTTTAAAGCTTCAAATGGTTGACTTATTGTCTGACTGAAATACCACATAGAGATGAGATGCTTGCGAGCATCACTTCTGCTTAAGTTCTGCTCTTCTGTAGTTGCTGTTGTAGAAAACTGCATAGGACACGAATGCTAGTTTTACTGCTGCTGTCAGTCTCCGAAAATACAGTGCAACTCCTTTTTGTCTCTATTGAAAGCATACTTACATGGTATGATGAAATGAATTGTCAATTATGTATGTCAAATATGTCAACTATGGAGATGTACAATTCCACCCTATTTTCTTATCAAAGATGGTTTGTAAGCTCTCTGCAGAGCGTAACTGTAAGTGCAAGTTTCCTGCTTCTTAGACCAGAACTTGTAACTCTCACACTGAAAATTATCAGATTTCATTCATGAGATTTTTGACTTGCAATTTCTTGTGTGTGTAAGATCTACCAGATGCATCCCTTTGACCAATTCTGGAGTGAAGTGGACTGCACTTGCATTGCATTAGAGGACACATGTAGAAAAATAAATAATTAGGAAAAAAAAGTCTCCTTAATATCATTAAAACTTTTTTTTTGTATTGTGCAGGAGTCGTTTAAAAGAATGCTTGTGTGTTGTATGTCGCCTCAATCCCAGTTCACTAACTCAGTGTGATTGTTATTTTTTTTTCCTCTAACATGGGCAATGGTTAATATGCTATTGGACTGTTAAAAATGGTTTTAGCACTGCTTGGTTAATGTTTAATTGCATGAAGGACAAGGAAAGGAAATAAGTTTTATTAGTATAAATAAATAGAATTTATGTTTCTAAATGGAATTTCATCTTCTATATGAACAGATTACAGCATGTCTACGTTGTCTTCCTTTCTCTTTGCCAGTCCCTCTCTCTAAACTTGCAATGCACTTCACACTAGTATAAAAATAGTTCTTTCAGCATGCCAGTGTCACCTTAAAACCTTCTGATTCCACACTAATTGCTAGGTTGCACATATTTTTGTCTATAGCTAGCTGCTTTCCAGAGAAGGAACAGGCACCTATAGTATTATCTGGTGAATGTTCAACCCCTGCTAAACAAATCTTCTTTTTTGAGCTTCTATAAATACATGGAGGAAACAGTTCATGGAAGAAACTTAGTTTTTCTTTTTATGATATTCAACAGCTGGTCATATTTGAAACTCACTGTGGTTGATTACCTTATAAATTTCTACTCTTTGGATATTAGTGCTTAATTGCGAGCAAGTGAAAAGCAACTTAGAGATAATGAAATCTGATAAATAGATTTTGAAAGATTATTCTGTTTGAGCCCATGGATTAAGGAAGACCACATAAGTAACTTCACAGAGTGAGTGTGTAGGAATAAGTGGGTTTCCTTGGTACTGCAGTGACTTGAAGGCCCTTTGTAGAAGTAGAGTGACAACCTTATGCTTACTTGCTATATGCAGTGTTTATGCTTCTCTGTATGGTCCAAAGAGTATGAACCTGTATAGTTTGATTTTCTAAAGACTGACAATACAGAAACTTAGCCAGTCTTCATTGCAATGCTGTTAGATGATTGTTGTGGAGGCTCCTGTTTGTGGCACATAACTAGCTTTCTGTAAGGATATCCTTCTGGAAATACTCAGCTTTACAATGAGTGTTTAAAATCCTCTGCCCTTGAATGTG